AAATGGCTCCTCGCACCCTCCCCACCCGACTTTCGCCTCTCCCTTTCCTTCGCTCACCTCCCTTGGCTTTAGTAACGTCTACGGTACCTGCCAGCACGGTTAATGGAGGAAGGACGCCCGTGATTTGCCCCTTCTTCTTCCACTGATTATGGGGAGAGGAGAGCGTCCTGTTTGTGTGCGTTCCCTTTTCCCTTTCATCTTGTGTTTAGAGGAGTTCGTTTTGGAGTTGTGAATACGAATAGAGAGTTGTGTAGTTTGTGCGAATAGTGTTGTGTATGTGTGTTGTGAGAGAGTGCTGTGTGGTGTTGTGTGGTGTGTGTGTGTGGTGTGTGCTGTGTGTAGTAGTGGCGTTCGCGCGCGAGTTTTTGTTTGTTTGTGTTGTCCTGTCCTGTCTGTGTGTATGTATGTGTGTGTATGACTGCGTATGCCAGCGTGTTTGCGTTTGTGTATGTATATGTTTATACTTAACTCTATCCTACCTGACTGCATGCCGCCTCTATTTATTTTAATTAACCTATTCTTTTTGAATGGATTAGCCTCTTTTTTCCTCTGCACTTAAGTCTCTTTTTTCCCTTTCGTTACACCAAACAACACGCACAAGGAATGTCTGGTATTCTTCAGTACTTGACTAGTCACAGTTTGTTTCTATTTTTTTTTTCTTTTTTCCTATTCTTTTTCGTTTTTTCCTTGTGTGTTTTTTGTTTGTTTGTTTATTTTTGTCATTCTTTATCGGCGTCGCTTCCATTCCTTCGTTTTTTTCATCAGCATCTTATTTCCGTCTTCTTGGTTTTCTCCAATCTTTTGTTCTTTTTTCTTCTTGTTTTATCTTATCACTATTATCATTATTTTTTATTATTTTCATTATTATTGTTATTATTTTTTATTATTGTTATTATCATTAATGACATAGTCATTATCATTGTTATGATGATAATAATAATAATAATAATAATAATAATAATAATAATAATAATAATAGTCATTATTATAATTATTATTATTATTATCATCATTCATCATCATCATCATCATCATCATCATCATGTATGTTTTTTAAATCATTCCTTCCTTCATTCTTCCTCCTCCCTCCCATCCTCCCTCCTCCTCCTCCTCCGTCTCTTCCTCCTTCGTCAGCGCCCGCCAACTTGAGGGGATTTCCGTGATCATCATTTACGAAAACGTTTGTTGGACTTGATGCCTCTGCCTCACCCCTCACCCCTCTGCCTCCTCTCCCCTCCTCTCCCCTCCCCTCCATTCCCTTCCTCCCCTTCTCTACTCCTTTCCCTCCCCTCCACTCCCTCCACCTCCCCTTCTTCTACCTCTCCTCTCGCTTCACCTCTTCTCTCCCTCCTTCCCTCCCGCTCCATCCCCCCTCTCTCTCCATCTCACCCTTACCCCCCCCCCCCCCCTCCCCTCCCCATGCCTATCAACTTTCCCGATAAGGGCGACGACTCCACGCAATGCCCAGGGAGGGGGAGGGGGAGGGGGGGTGACCATCAAGGTGAGCGGGATATGAGAGGAAGGGAGGGGGAGGGGGAGGGGGGGAAGGAGGAATGGGAGGAGGGAGAGGAGAAGAGAAGGGTATGGGGGAGGAGGAAGGGAGAAGGAGATAGAGAAGAAGAAGGGGGAAGAGGAGGAAAAGAAGAAAAAGAAGAAGGAGAGAAGGAGGAGGGAGGGGGGGGTCTCTACCTCCTCCGTTTTCCTTTTTTTTCCTTATTTTTTCTTATTATCATCATCTTGATTTATCTTCTTTCGATGTAATCTTCCCATCTCATTTTTACCGGTTCACTTGTAACAAAAACAAAAAACAAATTAAGGAATAGAAAACAGAGAAGAAAGGAAAACGAAAGATTAAAAGAGCGAGAAAGAAAAAGGGAATTAAGAAAAAAATAACAAAATTTCCGCGTCTCGCCCTTCCTCCCCCTCCCCTTCCCCCCTTTCCACCTTCCCCCTTCCCTAACCCCCTACCACTCCACCCTCCCCTAGTACCCCTACCCCCCCCCCACGGCGCGCGCGACGGGCAACACGTATTATTAAATCCCCGCAGGGCATCGCGACGGGGCGTGACGTCATCATTGATAGGCGCGGGAGGACCGTTAGCGTGGGGCGTCGATGGCACTGGAGGGGAGGCAAGAGGGAGGGGTGGGGGGAGGGTATGGAGGGGGTTGGGGGAGTAGGGGAGTAGGGGGGGGGGTTGGTGGTGGAGGGGCATGGAGGGGAGGGTGGAGGGGTATAGAGGGAAGGGGAACCGTGTGGTGGAGGGTATGGATGGGGTTGGGGTAGGGTATGGAGGGGGAGTAGGGGAAGGGTATGGGGGAGTTGGGGGAGTAGGGGAGGGGTTTGGGGTTGGAGGAGTATAGAAGGGAGGGGGTGGGGGGTGAAGGGTATTAAGGGAGGTAGTGAGGTGGAGGGGTAGAGAAGGGAGGGGACCGAGGGGTTGGGGTGGAGGGGTATAGAGGGGAGTGGGTATGGAGAGATGTGGATACAGGTGGGGAGGATGGAGGAGGGCGGACAGGGGGAGTGTGGGGTGAGAAGGCTGGTATGGGAAGGGTGGATAGGGGGGTGAAAGGAGGTGAGGGGGGGAGGACAGGACTCATATTAGTATTTTTTTTTTTTCCTTGTTTATCTTTATTTTTCCTTGTTTATCTTCTTTCATTGTTTAGTGACGTAGACGATTTTTTGTAAAGGGGGGAGGTCATTTTTTTTTTTTTGTCTTTCGTTCTAAGGTTCAGAAGACATGTAAACACGTGCTTAATTAAGGCATTTATACGTACAGATACCGTAAATAATTGACACATTTTAACTTTGATTTTTTTTTTTCCTTTCAGGTAAGATGGTCTACATAGCTTCGTTGTCGTGAGGAGGTGTGGCACTTCCTCCCCTCCCCTCCCCTCCATTCTCCTCTCCCCTCCATTCTCCTCTCCTCCTTCCCCTCCCCCATCTCTCTCCCTTCCCCTCCATTCTCCTTTCATTCCTCTCGTTCTCTCTCCTCTACTCCCCTTCCCTCCACTTTTAGCCACTGCCCTCCACTTCCCTCTTCTCTTTTCCACTCCCCTCTCCTTCCTTCCCTCCCCTCCATTTCCTTCTCCATTCCTTCCCTCTCCTCGACTCCCCTTTCCGCCCCTCCCCTCGACTTCTCTCTCCTATCCTGCCCTCCACTTCCTTCTTCTCCCGTCCACTCCCCTCTCCTCCTCTCCACTTCTCTCTCCTCTCCCCTCTCCTGTTGACGACTCTTCTCCTCTTGCGTCTCCTCATCCTTACCTCATACTTCCCCTCTCCTCATCGCCTCTTAACACCGTTTTTCGCCTTCTCCCTTGTTTCCTTCTTTTTCTGCCTCTCTCTCTCTCTCTTCTCTCTCTCTCTCTCTCTCTCTCTCTCTCTCTCTCTCTCTTCTCTCTCTCTCTCTCTCTCTCTCTCTCTCCTCTCTCTCTCTCTCTCTCTCTCTATTTATCTATCTACCCATCTATCTGTCTATCTATCTATATCTGTCTATCTATATCTATCTATCTATCTATTCACTTATCTCTTATTTACTCCCTCCCCATCCCCTCCCCCGTCCCTTCACCTTTCCCTCCTGTCTTCTCCCTCCCTCCTTTCTTCTCCCTTCCCTCCTTCTTCTCCCTTCCCTCCCCTTCCTTTCCTTCCCTTCCCTCCCTCCCTCATCACTGTCACACCCTCCGACCTCGCTATCAGTCAACGCGTCCCCATTGTTATTTCGGCGTATCCGTGGCAGAGAAGATATCCGATAAAGGGTAAGGCAAGAATACAAAACAGAATATTTCTTTAGTGTCTATGTGTGTGTGTGTGAGAGAGAGAGAGTGTGAAGGAGAGAGAGAGAAGGAGAGAGAGAGATAGAGAGAGAGAGAGAGAGAGAGAGAGAGAGAGAGAGAGAGAGAGAGGAGAGAAGAGAGAGAGAGAGAGAGAGAGAGAGAGAGAGAGAGAGAGAGAGAGAGAGAGAGATGAGAGAGGAGAGAGAGAGAGAGAGAGAGAGAAGAGAGAGAGAGAGAGAGAGAGAGAGAGAGAAGAGAGAGAGAGAGAGAGAGAGAGAGAGAGAGAGAGAGATTAAGGACGGCCTGTAGGATCTCTTGTAGGGAGATGTGTCGTGTACCGTTTTTGCCCGGAAGGAATAAACTGTCTTCTCCCCCTCTCCCCTCTCTTCCCCTCTCCTATCCTCTCCCCTCTCCCCCACCTTTTCCCCTCCCCCTCCATTCTCATCCCCCACTCTCCTCTTCCCGTTTTCCTCCCCCCTCTCTCCCTCTCCTATCTCCCTCTCCCTCTCTCTCCCTCTCCCTCTCCCTCTCCCCTATCTCCCCAAGGTTTAGTCTGGTGTCGCCTGTTACCAGCCACATTCGACGGCCATTTGTCACCGACTCACTACGTGGCGTGACTTCCTTATCAGAAATATCTACCCGATTTCGCGTCTGATGTCGGGTGTGTGAATCGGGTCGTCGTTTCGTCGTCTTGTCGGGTATTCGTTTTGTTGTTTCTCTTGTTTATTGCGCGTTGCTTAATTGTCTGTTTGTTAGTTGATGTTTGTTTGTTTGTTTTGTTTTTTTCGTTGCTTGTGATGTCGTTTTATGATTTGTAATTATTTGTTTTGTTTTTTTGGTATTTTTCTGTCTCGTTTGTCTTTTTTTGTAACTACTTGTCATTTATTTATTTATGCTGATGAATTATTGATAATATCTGTCATTACTTTGTACGAATATTATCAGCAATAAGATTTGATATCAAGGTGTTTTTTTTTTTTTTTTTTTTTTTTTTACATTATATAATCATAATAATCTTAGCACACAGACGCCAGACGTGTCTTTTTTTCTTTCTTTTTTTTTCACATTATTCAATCATCATAATCTCGGTACACAGACGCCAGGCACATTTGGACCTTAATTAAAATGATAATGCAGCGGGCGAGGAGAGGCGACTGCGAGACACAGCGCCAGAGGAGCCGAGAGAGAGAGGGGGGCGCCTCCGATAAAACGCGTCGTGGTTAGCGTCACAGGTTGTCCCTCGTCGGCGTCGCGGGGCGGAGGCGGAGGTGGAGGGGTGGAGGTGGAGGGGGCGTTGGTGGAAGAGCTGTTAGGGGAGGGTGGTGGAGGGGTCGTGGAGGGTGTTGGGGAATGGGCTGTAGGGGAGGGTGGTGGAGGTGCCGTTGGTGGAAGAGCTGTTAGAGGAGGGGTGGTGGAGGTGGTGAAGGCTGTTAGGGGAGTGTGGAGAGGTGTGGAGGGGCGTTGGTGGAAGGCTGTTAGAGGCGGGTGGTGGAGGGGCGTTGGTGGAAGGAGCTGTTAGAGGGTGGGAGATGAGGGGTGGAGATGTGTCATGTACCGTTGTGTGGGAGTGGTGATGGAGGTGCCGTTGGTGGAAGGGCTGTTAGAGAGGGTGGTGGAGGGGGAAGATAGGTGGTGGAGGGTGGTAGAGAAGTGGTGGGGTGCCGTTGTTGCAAGGGCTGTTAGAAGAGTGAGGGGGGTTGGAGGTGCTGTTAGAGGAGGGGTGGTAGAGAAGAGGTGGTGGAGGGGTCGTTGGTGGAGGGGTTGTGATGTGTCATGTACCGTTGGGAGGGTGATGGAGGCGTCGTTAGTGGAAGGGCTGTTAGAGGAAGGTGGTGGAGGGGGGCTGGGGTGTGCTGCTAGAGGAGGGATGGTGGAGGGCGGCTGGAGGTGTGCTGCTAGAGGAGGGCTGGTGGAGGGCGCTGGAGGTGTGCTGCTAGAGGAGGGGTGGTAGGAAGGGCGGTGCGTTTAACGAAGGATTTGGCGTCGATAGCGAGTGATTTATCGTTTCGTATCGTGATTCGCTCGATCCGTCACTCGTTTTAAGTGTGGGTCTCTCTCTCTCTCTCTCTCTCTCTCTCTCTCTCTCTCTCTCTCTCTCTTCTCTTCTCTCTCTCTCTCTCTCTCTCTCTCTCTTTTCTCATACATGTCCCCCAGCACCAATACATACAGTACATTAAAAAACACACACACGCACGTACACACGCACAAACGTACCCACCCCTTCCCCTTTCCTCCCTTCGCACCTTTCACATACCCCCCTGAAGGTAAAGGCGCGTCCCTGTCCCTCCCCCCTTCCCCCCTCCCTCCTCCCTCCCCTCCCTCCCTCCCCCTCCTCCCTCTCTCCCTCCTCTCCTCCCTCCACCCTCCCTCCCTCCTTTCTCTCTCCCTCCCTCTGTGTGCTTGCCCTGAAGGGTCACATGGAGACATATAGAGACAGCGGCGGGGAGGGAGAAGGGGACGGGGTGGGGTGCGCGGGGTTGGGGGGGGTGCACGGGAGTTTTTGAATTGTAAATTAATCGCTGTAAAATCATAGTTTTATTCTCTTGATGCAAACGCTTGACTACGTTGTGGGAGTGGAAGAGGGGGAGGGGGAGAGAGGAGGGGGCGGAGGAAAGGACGGAGGGAGGTTGGGGGGAGAGGGGGTTAGGGGAGGAGGGGAGAGGAAAGAGGGAGAGAGGGAGAGGGTGGTTAGGGGAGAGGAGGGGAGGGAGGTGGTTAGGGGGAGAGGGAGAGGAGGTTAGGGGGAGAGAGGAGGAGAGAGGAGAAGAAGGAAGGGAGGGAGGGAGGGAGGTGATGGGAATGTTGTATGTATGTAAATGCGTTATGGCGGAGTTTTTATTGAAGTTTTCTTTTCTCTCCTTTTAGTTATTTTTTCCCTCCTCTTTTTTGTGTTCTGTTTTTTAGGCCTTGTCAAAGACTTAAAGAAAAATGCTGTTGACGTTGATTAACATTTTTTTCTCCTTTCCTCCTCCCTCTTTATCTCTAATTCTTATCTATTCCATTACTTCACTTTCCCTTTCTCCTATTAGCGTTTCATTCTTTTTTCTTTGCTATTCCCTTCTCGCCCCATCCCTTGCTATCTCTTTTCTACGTCTCTATATCATATTTATTATATTATGCGTTCTACCTATTATTACTAAACGCCCTTTTCCCTATTCATTTTTTTCCAACGACGTTCTCTTAATGACTCTCTTTCATTATTTTGTAGTTTTTCTTATTGTTTTTCTTTCATTTAACCGCTTTGTTCATTTTTCTCTGTTTATATTCGTCTCACAGTTCTCAATTTTCTGTTTTATTTTCGCTGTTTTCAACTTTTATTGTCCAATTCTTTGTCTTGTTCCTTTTTTTCTTGTTTCTGCGAGTCTCCCTCTTCCATTCCATCCCTTTTCTTCTTTTCCATTCTCCCTCCACGCCTTTCTCACCCTCTCTCCTTCTTCCCCTTTTCCTTCCCGTCTCCTTCTCCCTCTTCCTTTGTCTTATCCGATTTTATCCTCCCTCCCCTCCTCTCTCTCTCTCTCTCTCTCTCTCTCTCTCTCTCTCTCTCTCTCTCTCTCTCTCTCTCTCTCTCTCTCTCTCTCTCTCTCTCTCTCTCTCTTCTCCCTTCATGTCGTCCCTCCACGTTTTCTCACCCTTTCCCCTTCTTCCACTTTTTCTCCCCGTCTCCTCCTTCTCCCTTTATTCTATCCGATTTTATCCTCCCTCCCCTTCTCTCTCTCTTTTCTCCCTTCTCCTCCCCATCCCGGTATCACCCTCTGTCCCCGCGTCCCTCGCTCTCTACTCTCGCTCCAACAACACCCTTCCTCCTTCATTCCAATCCTTCCACCCCGCCCTCATCCATCCTCATCACCCTTTCTCCCTCCCCTCCTCCCCTCCCTCTCACCCTCACCATCCTACGCTCCCACCGCCCACTTCCCACCGCCCTCCTCCTCTCACCCATCCACCCACCCTCGACCCTATCCTCTGCCCCGCCTCTCTCTCCTCTCTCTCCTCTCCCACTCGCCCACTCGCTCATCTCCTCCACCTTCTACCCCACCCTCTTCTCCCCCTCCTTTAAAACTAGCGTGGGCGTGGCGTGGGCGTGAAGAGCCTATCTGTGATCACGGGTGTGTAAGTACAAGGCAGGGCCGCGAGTGTGGCAGGCGTCCCTGAGCTTCCTCGTCCCCCTCGTCCTGTCCCCCTTCGTCTCGTCCCCTTCAGTCCTCATCCTTCTCTCTTCGTCCTCGTCCTCGTCCTTCCTCCTCTCCTCCTCTCCTCTTCCCCCTCCTCCTCTTTCCTTTCCCCTCGTCCTCCTCTTACTTCTCTTCCTCTTCCTCGCCCTCCTCCTACCCCTCGTCCTCCTCCGTCCTCCTCATATCACACAATCAGGAGGACGAGGAGTCGCGGCGCTGGCTGTTGTGCTGTTGCCTCGGTTGCTGTTGTTGCTGCGGCTCCGTCTCGGGATGGGGTTTGGTTTTTTAGCTGTTCGTTTTTCGTTCGTATTTTGGTTCGTATTGAGTTTCTGTTGTTTTTTGAGTTTCGTTTTTTTTTCGTTTTTACTTCATTCTTCTTTGGGTCTATTTCTTTTTTCTCTTTTCCCTTTTTTTCTTGCCCTTTTTTTTTTTTGGGGGGGGGTGTTTTTGCTCTGTTTATTTGTTTCTTTTGGAATCTGTATTTTTCTTTGATTATTTTGATACTTCTACTTCCCCGTTTTCTCCTATTTTCCCCCAGCCTCTTTCTTTCTGCATTTGACTGTCCCTTTCTCCCTCAACCCCCATCTCCCTCATCTCTCTCTCTCTCTCTCTCTCTCTCTCTCTCTCTCTCTCTCTCTCTCTCTCTCTCTCTCTCTCTCTCTCTCTCTCTCTCTCCTCTCTCTCTCTCTCTCTCTCTCTCACTCTCTCACTCACCCTCCCTCTATGTGTCTTTCTCTCTTTCACTCTTCCACTCACTATCTCCCGCCCTCCCTCCCTCCCTCACTCACTTATTCCCTCACTCTCCCTCCCCTCCTCCTCCTTCTCCCATCCACCCACCCACCCACCCATCTTCTCTCCCTCCCCCCTCTCTCTCCTCCTTTTCCCCGACCCTCCTTCCTTCTTCCTTCCTCCTCCTTCCCCCCTTCCTCTTGTGTCCTCTTATTCCCCTTTTGATCGACAGGAGAAGGATAAGCAAGTAAGGACGCGGGGTGATCAGCGTCGTCGGAGAAATAATAATGGCGAAGGAATAATGGTTGCAAGTGGATAACGAATAAGGGAGTGTATGCGAAAGGAGAGGAGAAGGAGAGGGAGGGAGGGAGGGAGGGAGGAGGGAGGGAGGGGGAGGGAAGGAGGAGAGGGGGAGGAGGGAGGGGAGAGGGAGAGGGAGGGAGGAGAGGGAGGAGAGGGAAGGGAGAGGGAGGGAGGAGGAGGAGGAGGGAGAGGAGGGAGGGAGGAGGGAGAGGGAGGGAGGGAGAAGAGAGGGAGGTAGTGAGTGAAAGAGAGAAAGATAGATAGATAGAGAGAGAGAGAGAGAGAGAGAGGAGAGAGAGAGAGAGAGAGAGAGAGAGCAGAAGAGAGAGAGAGAGAGGGGGGGGGGCAAAGAGAGAAAAAAATAGGGGGAAAAAGGACGGGAGATGGATGCCGATGCCCGGCGTATCAAGGGATCCCCAATAAAAGACAAAACAGTTTCAATTAAATGCCTCGAACATCTCAATTAATTCCCCTCCTCCTTTTACCCCTCCTCTCTCCCCCTCCCCCAATCGTCTATTCCCCTCCCCTTCCCCTCTCCTCCTCCCTTCCTACCTCCCTTTACCCCTCCTTCCCTCCCCCCTATTCCCCTCCCCCTCCCCCCCTGGGCTAAAGGGTCAGAAAATTATAGAGAGCGTATCATTTGATTAGTCTCCCCGCCCGTCCTCCCCCCCTCCCCCACCCCCTCCCCCCAGTTGCGACCGTTTCCTCGCCTCCAAAACTTCTCGTTCACTCTCCCCAAATCCTTTGATAAAGCTCATCCAATTAATCCAAAAGGCTGCGGGCCCGCTATATGGCCAATAAAACAAACTAACCCCATTTACTGGATTACCCCGAAATGGGTGGCTCGCTGCGATCGACCCCGGGACCAACTTCGATGCAACTCGATGCCTTTAAAAAAAAAAAAAAAAAAAAAAAAAAAAAAAAAAAAAAAAAACAAAAAAAAAGAAAACAAAAAAAATGGATAGGGTTTGGGGTTTTTGGGGTTTTCCGCGTATGGGAGGTTTGCTTATGGGTGGGGGTGAAGGAGGGAGAGAGGGCGTGAAGGGGTTTCGGTCCCATGCGAGACTCGCCTATGGAGGTTTGCTTATGGGAGAGAGGGGTTGTGGAAGGGCAGGGGGAGGGAGAGAGGGAGGACGGGGAAAGGGTTGTGGCACTGTTCTTTGTCCTTCCGAGAGGGGGAAGTCCGGGACGTGAAAATCGCGGTGCCAGAACCCCCTGGGCGCGGGGGAGTCCGAGTGCCGCAGAGAGTCAGAGTCCCGCATTGTTGAAGACGCCAGTGCCACAGCGCGAACCGCCGGCGACAAGGTTCTACAGTGCAGCGCTGAGTGCCAGGACTTGCGCTGCCAAGCCTGGTAGCAAGGCAGGGTCCTCAAAGGTGCCGCGGTCTGGCTCCACACACGTGATTTTGCTATTAGGCGTTCCCAGGGGGGTGGAGCTCAGGCACCCTCTGTGCTCCCTCCCCTCCCCTCCTCTTCCCCACCCCTCCCCTCGCCTCGAACACTACCCGCCTCTGCCCTGTGGCCTTTGCATGCCTCCGTCCTCTCTTCTCCTCGCTCGCCTTTACTCCAGCTTCCTCTTGCCTCTCCATTCACAGTTCTCATTCACACTTGGCATTTATTTATGTATCCTTTTTTTGCGTTTTTATTGTTTATTCATTCGGTCTGTTTGTTTTAATGTTTTCGTCGAGTGCGGTCTTAATCCACCGAGCATGGGTCTCCCCCTCCCTCCCCCTACCCCCCCTCCCATGCTTGGTTTACCTCAGTGATTCTATCTTTCTCCTTTGGAAAGTTTCTCTGGTCATTCTTGTGCACTTCTGACCTACCTTGTGGAGAAAGAAGGGGGGTGAAGGAGAGAGGAGAGAGAGGGAGGGAGGGAGAAGAGGGAGGAGGGAAGAAGAGGAGGAGAGGGGAGGGAAAGAGAGATAGGGGGAGGGGAGAGAGAGAGTGAGTGAGTGAGAGTAAGAGTAAGAGTGGGAGTGAGTGAGAGTGAGTTTTTTTCTTTTTTTCCTTATTCTTTTCTTTACTTTGCTTTGCTTTGCTTTGCTTGCTTCAAGAGACAAGAGCGTGCACATGCCCTCGCGAAAAGACGAGAGCCTCCGACGCTCTTACCGACACCTTCCATCGCCGCCAATGACTGCCTTAACCACCCGTCACTCTTCCGAAGTCACAGAAGACCCTCCCTCATTTCCCTCCCGATGCCAGGCCCTCGATAAGGAAGCCATTGGTGTTGCGAGTCCGTGGCAGAGGACTTTGGGAAAACGGCCGTTCAGAGGCACGCTCGTCCGGTTGTTTATTCAGCGGTTTCAGCTTATCAGGCGGACTTCAGCGACTGAGTTTTCGGTATTTTTCGTACTCTCTGGTCCGATCCTTGCAAAGTCGAGCCGCAATGAATGGGATATATCCTTTCGTTCCCTCCCTCACCCCTCTCCTCCTTTCTCTCCCTTACTCTTTCCTACCTTCGTCCTCCCCTCCCTCTACTGCAATTTTCCTCCCTCCCTCCCTCCCTCCCTCCCTTCCCTCCGTCCTTACCTTACTCCCTCCCCTCCCTCCCTCCCCAAGATGTATATTTACTCAAATTGCCTAACATTTGCATTAGTCTGTGCCCCCACCTCCTCCCCCCTCCCTCACCTCCTCCTTTCACCACCTCCCCCCTTCCCCCCCCCTTCCCCTCCCCCCTCCCCCTCCCCTTCCCCTCCCCTTCCCACCTCCCCACCTCCCCCCCCCCGAAAAGTAGTGATTGGTAAATGTCAGCAGTGTTACCAACCGCCAACCTGCAGTTTTTCCCCGGGTGCGGCTTTTCAAATCAAGCTAATCGCCTGTAGTTTGCTGGGTAAATAAATGAGATGGTTAACGTAACAGCGTATTGGCGTATGCGTGCGTGGGCAAGCGCGCGCGCACACACCTCCGACTTCTCTTTCTTTAAAATTCTTTTTGAGGGATACGAAGGGAAGGAAAACAGAAAATGAATGATTGATATTGCGCCCAGTGATCGGCCAGGCGTTGAGAACACAGGCGGAGAGAGAGAGAGAGAGAGAAAGGAGGAGAGAGAGAGAGAGAGAGAGAGAGAGAGAGAGAGAGAGAGAGAGAGAGAGAGAGATTCCAGCACTCTTTCTGCAGGTATGCTGTTGTGACTGCATCGAGCGAGTGCAATTGTATGCTAGAGATATATATATATATAAATATATAATATATATATTATATATATATTTATCTAACATTTAGATACTGCCCTACTTACAAAGGGGGTGAAAAATCGTTCCCAAAGTCACAGTCGTGGTTCGTCGGTTCGCCGAGTGACGTTCCTGTGGTTCACAATCCTGGTAATGAACCGGCCAGAACTCAAATCCGTTTCCATCTTTGATCTATTTTTTTTTTTTTTTTTTTTTTTTTTTACAAGCGCGGCATCCAGTCCTGGCAACTGAGTATTGATTTTAAGCGTTCGTGTTTATATTTTTTATTTGATTTATGTATATATAGATTTCAGTTTTTTTTTGCGGGGGGTTGTTATAATTCTTTGAAGCACCCTCCCCCTATTCTGCCCTCCCCTCCCACCCCCCCACCCCTCACCTAACCCTTTCCTTGCACTTGTCTTCTGTATTTTGAATTCTTTCGTTTGATTGGTTATTCTCTCTCTCTCTCTCTCTCTCTCTCTCTCTCTCTTCTCTCTCTCTCTCTCTCTCTCTCTCTCTCTCTCTCTCTCTCTCTCTCTCTCTCTCTCTCTCTCTCTTCTCTCTTTCTCTCTCTTTTCTCTTCTCTACTTTCTCTCCTCTTCCGTTTCTCCTTCTCTCCCATCCTCCTTTCTCTCACTTCCTCTCTTTCTCTCTCTATCTACCAGTATCTCATTTCGTCTCATCTTTATTCCCTTTCGCGTTGTGTATCAGAGTTGGTAATGTAATTTTGCTCGGAATCTCTTCTCGCCAAAAGGAAATAAAATACTTGAAAGGGACGTTTGGAAGAATGAAAGAAACGCTACTTTCCATTTTTTTAATTCATTATTTGTCTCACGGATTATTTTCATATGTATGTGTATTTTATTCTTTATTCATTATTATTATTATTATTATATTATTCATTATTATTATTATTATCATCCCATATTCATCTATCATTCATCATCATCATCATCATCATCATCATCATCATCACATCATTATCATCCATCATCATCACCATCATCATTCATCATTCATCACCATCATCATCATCATCAATCTTACTCAGTTCGGTGTTTGCAATATTGCAGTCCTGGCATGAACTTCCACGTCTTTGATGGACAGAGGATTTCAACATGGCGTCCGCGGCGTGTGTGATATTTCTGGTTTATTTGGGATTTTTTTTTCTTTTTTTTCATCGTGCAGTGTTTCGGAATGCATAAACACACGACTACGATTGCAAGATTGAGTGGCTGGCCGGTTGATGGATGCGGATGGCTGGCTGACGCTTCGACTGTCTCTCTTCTTTCTCTTCTCTCTCTCTCTGATTTCTCTCTCTCTTCTTTCTCGTTCTCCTCTCTCTCTCTCGTTTCTCTACTCTTCTCTCTTCTCTCTACTCTCTCTCTCTCTCTCTCCTCTCTTCTCTCCTTCTCTCTCTCTCTCTCTTCCTCTCTCTCTTCTCTCTCTCTCTCTCTTTCTCTCGTCCGCTCGTGGGATTTTTTTTTTCCCATTAATGCTATGCGCACATGCACGTACGCATATGCGCGCGCAACACACACACACACACACACACACACACAACACACACACACACACACACACACACACACACACACACACACACACACACACACACACACACACACACAGCATGCGCGAATCCATACGTACACAGATTTGACACCACATGTAAAACTGACACAATCTTGACTCTAAACAAAATATACGTTCACGCACCACCTGTCAATACGGAATAAAAAGTCATATATAATATATTATATATATATATATATATATATATATATATATATATATATAATATGTGCCCCAGAACCTCGACATCATTCATCTCTCTCTCTCTCTCTCTCTCTCTCTCTCTCTCTCTCTCTCTCTCTCTTCTCTCTCTCTCTCTCTCTCTCTCTCTCTCTCTCTCTCTCTCTCTCTCTCTCTCTAAACCCCAAAAGCGACAGCTCCACGATAGCACTCTACACACCAGCATCATAGTACCCCATCGCGGCCTGTGCTTCCCTTCCTCTAGCCACCATACCATAGCAACCCCCTCCCCCGCTAACCCTCCCTAACCACTCATAGCACCCTGCGCAGGCACCCCCCCCCGCATGGCGCAGCGGTTCCCCCTCCCCTACCAACCACCACACCCCCCCCTAGCACGCTCAGCGCCCCCCTACCATTATGGTGCTCAGTGCTTCCCTCCCCTACCAACCACCATAGCACCATAGCCCCCCCCAGTGCCACCCGTGCCATATCGAACTCCCCGAGAGCGCGCGGGCGGCACCACGTGCAAGAGGCATAAGCGAGGCATCTTGACACAGGCTTTGAGCACAAAAAAAACGTATTATGTTAAGGCTGCACAGCTTTAACACCTCCCCCGGGGCGCTTTGCCATCCACAGGGGGGTAGGGAGGGGGCGAGGGGGGGGGAAGGAGGAGGTTGCAGTACTTGCATCTCACCTCAAGTGTACGGGGAAGGTGTGTGTGCGTGTGCGTGTGTGTGTGTGTGTTTGTGTGTGTGTGTGTGTGTGCGTGTGCGTGTGCGTGTGTGTGTGTGTGTGTGTGTGTGTGTTTGTGTGTTGTGTGTGTGTGTGTGTGTGCGTTTGCGTTTGCGTGTGCGTGTGCGTGTGCTTATGTGTGTCTGTATTTAAGTCTGTCTGTATGTATGTATGTTTGTAAGCAATGTATACATATTTTATGGAATAATGTAAGCATGTTTACTAATTGGTGATTAACTTCCTCTTTTAAAATTCTAAGATAAGGGAAGCCTTACTTCCTTTTTAGTGAGGAAGGACCTTTGTTGGCGAGGAAAGCGGAGATGAGAAAGAGAGAGATAGGGGGAAGGGGAGGGAGAGGGAGAGAGAGAGACGAAGGGAGAGAGAGAGACGAAGTGAAAGAGAGAGAGAGAGAGATAAATAGATAGATAGATAGAGAGAGAAAGAGACAAAAAGACAGAGATGACATAAGAAGAGACCAACGAACGAGAAGAGAGGTGGAAATAAGGGTAACATAATGACGCTACTAAGGAGAGGATCAAAGTGGAAGGGAATAAGAGGGAATGGGGAGAATGAATGATAAAAGGTGACATGGGAAAGGAATGTTGATAAAGGGCATGTAGAGGAGGGGAGAATAACGATATTTGAAGCGGAGAGAATAAAGGAATAAGACGAAGAGAGAGAGAGAGAGAGAGAGAAGAGAGAGAGAGAGAGAGAGAGAGAGAGAGAGAGAGAGAGAGAGAGGA